GTCTTCTCTTGTCTCTCTTCCTTTGTCTCAGCAAGGCACGGTGGTTTTTGACTGACAGTTAGAATGTGTCCCCTGGTTTCTGAACTGCCCATATTCTATCTGCCGAGGTCATCCTCAGGGTTATTGATTTTGCAAGGTTTGGGACAGTCGGAAATAGTATTTTGGTTTCATAGTCTAACTGTCAGTCCCCTACTGTATTTGTGGTGTGGTACGGTATGGTATGGTATGGTATTGAACAGAAAGTAGCAACGCTCCTATTTACTTGAGCCAAAAGTGGTCAGGGTACCGCTCATGTTTATGAGGATCCATGTCTCAAATCACCCCACCTGGACACGAGGCGCGTCTCGATTTTCCGAGTCCAAGGCGGTTACGTGTTCCAAGCGCTGCTGACGAGTCGGTGTAAACGTGGAGCTTTTGTAGTAATGCCCCAACTTCTGAACACCTCCTGGGTTGCCATGCCAGAAGCTACAGCTTTCACCAACGCGTAAAACTCGCTCTCACCTGATGACAAGCTAACCGTGGACTGTAGGTTACTCGAGCGGCGAAGTGAGTGTCGCCCATAGTAGCGTACCAGGCCCGTTGTACTCTTGCGAGTCAGGAGACATCCGGCAAAACCGGAGTCTGCGTGAACTGAAACGACATCGCTGAGCTTTTGCGGAGTGAACTTTTGCACCGTGCGCATTGTTCCCTCGTTTGAGGTCTCCGAAATCAGCTTCGGTTGGACCTTGCATTTTCCTTGCCAAACAGTTGACCGTCTTTGCAGATCAGGGCGGCCCTGAGCTGGGAACGCTGCACACAATGAGAGAACGGTATTGGCTGATCTGGCGAGGATCAACAACATCAAGTTCCATCCTCTTCGCCAATGCTTCTGCTGTCAAGTTTTCGTTTGGACTCTTCACTACTGGTTTGCAAGTCTCCATGTTGAGGTCCTTCAGCAAGATCTCTGCATGTTTTGGATCTGGCTTGTAGAAGATGGTTCCTAACCTCTCGTCGAAGCGCACGAGACGGTTCAGGGTGCAAAACTCCTGTTTGGCTTCTCCAACACCTATACTTCCGTCAACACGGAGATCATATGCTTCTCTTAATGACTTTTCGACATGCTGCTGCGCTGCATCGTCGCCCACGATGACAAAGTCGTCACCGTGGACTATAACAGCCTTGCCTCCAACTTCCCGTGAAAGAAGGGCGGCGGATCTTTTGAATCCGGCTCGACTCAAAACATCAGTATGTATGGGATTGTTGCCAAATGTTGGCTGCATCGCGAGTGCCATACATGCTCTTCAACAACAATCCTACCTTGCCTTCTTCCTGATCACCTTCGGGGAGGGTGACAAAAACTTCACGCCGCGCATGACCATAAAAATGGGCCCTGCTGATGACGTCAATCAGCCGAACCTTCAACGGCTTGCGGTACGCTTGGAAACCTTCAGCACGACCATCATTGAAAGCAAAATCTTCAAATCTTCCAGAGGTGGCATTGCGCTAAAGCTTGCGTACTCTGGAATGTACTCTGCGTTGTGAGCTCTCTTGATCTCACGACAAGCAAGGCGAGATCTGTAGTTGGGTCTTTCGTTGTCGCCCTTGTTGCGATCAACCCATTTCATTGTGATTGGAAATTTTCCAGCTTTTCGAGCATCTTCTGCGTCCACCTTCTTGTAGATGCACTGGCGTTGAACCCATTCTAACTCCTCCTTCCTAGCGGCGGCCACTTTCTTCAAGTCCAACTCTGCACCAGCGTTGGTGTCGTAGACTGGTCCGGCGACTGTCACGTCAGCGGAAGGAAGACCTCTTGCTCTTCGTCTATGACTGGAGCGGCATCCGGCACTGGTCCAGCGCCTAGCGAATTCAATGCTTGACTGAACTCGCCATCTTCAGCAAGTTGGTTTCTCAACGCTTCAAGAATCCCTCGAACCAACCGTGGCGGGTAGACTTGCGCCGACCTTGCCCGGCCGTTGATGAGGTTGACGCGTCGATGCCAAGTCTTACCAACTTGGCTGTTGGAGCATACGCCAGATAGCGTCCTCGCCAAGTGCGGCGAGTTTGTTAACCACCTGGTTTCTTTCCTCACCAGGCCCTTGCCCCACACGTCACACGTATTCTGACATGGGCCCAACAACTTCGTAGACACGTGGGTCGTCCCGAAGTTCTTTGATGACTGGCTCCTCCCAGCTGCGCGCTCCTTTCAGATGCTCATGCAAAAAGTAGCGGCCTGCGTCCATCTGCGCACGGTAGGCGCGCACAGAAGCCTTCTTGCAGCCTTTAAGGACCTGACCGACTGAGGAACATGATTCCGAACGTCGACCAAGTTGTGGAGCTGTGAGAATGGTCCACAAGGAGGTGAACCACCTAAAAGCTTGGGTTTTTCTTTCTCAGGCAATGCTTCAACGTGAGAATCTTTTCTCAAGTCCCAATGACTTCCGTCTTCTCGCGTGGTGTCAAGGTCAATTGAGTCAATTGCGAATCCAGGACGCAATCCGACCAATTGGGCTTGCGCTGAAACTCTTGGCGGTGAAAAGATTTCTGAAACAGTCTTCTGTACGTTGCCCTTCTTGCGGGCATCTCTCAAAACAGAACAAAGACAAAATGAAAGATGTCCTAGATCCATGGCGCCGCTGCCTCCGGGCGAAGCGTCTGGAGCTGCTGGAACTCTTGGTGGCTGGGCCCCATCACCACTGCCCCTTCATCATCTACAACTGCGCCTGCACCTGCTTCACCCTGCATCTGACGACGCAGCTCCTCAATGTCTGCTTCTGAACTTCGCTTTGTCCGGCGGGCGTCGGACTTCTGCTTCTTCTTTGGGCTTCCGGGATCTTCTCCTCGGTCTTCGAGTTCACGGCGCGCAACTCGTTCGAGTTCTCCAACAGCTTCTCCCGAGGCCATTTCGGCGTCAGGCTCTGGAACACCTACCAACGCAGGAACGCTAGCAGCTTCCACCACCTCTGGCTCGCCAGCCCCACCTCCAACTCTTGGAGCTTTAGGCGTCGCCCGGCATCAATCCGAGCTTTTGCAGCTTCAACCCTCTGCTTTCCTTCTTCGGTCTTCATGAGCTCGCTTTCAATCCTGAACCTGCACTCCGGGTTATGGGCCCTACGACCCGTTCCCATCAACTGCGCCTCACAACCTGGACACAGTGGGGCGTGACCGAACTGTCGACGTCACTCTTCGTCACACAGAGATTCCTCGGAATCACCTCTTCTGCATGCTGGTGGCCTCGTCACGCATAGGCCCCACAATGACTGGCAGGTCAACTCGAACCTCGCCAGGCTCGCGTGCTTGGAGTCTCCAGGGAACAGGGAACTCCCCGGAGTTCACTCCAGTGGTCATACTTGAACTGATCTTCAGGAGGTCTTCGAGTGATAGCGTCGCCTTTCACTATTCCCCTCGCGGCGCCTCGCGGTCATGACGAAGACGTCGTTGTTGCGCAACCCTGCGCCAACATACATCCCCATTGAAACTCTTGGTGCGAGATCACGTCGTCGACCATCACGCGGTGGCCTTGGCCTGAACAAGATGCGCTCGCCGAAGCTCACCAAAGGAGTCCTCCACTTCTTTCCGAAGATTCTTTCATAGGGAGTCTTTCCATCTGGCCCAATGCGAAACCGGGTCAGAAGATAGGCGGCGTGCCGTGGCAGCCACATCATGCACGGATGACCGGTTCCATGTGAATCTTCACCTTACTTTCCTCCTTTACTTGGCATAGGTATCAAGAAAAGTATTTATCGAATCAAAAAAATATTTACCGAATCAACAATACATATTTACTGAATCAATAAAAAATATTCGTTGCGCGATGAAATTCCCTTGGAATTCCCAGTCGTGTAGGTGGCTGTTGTGGTCCTGGTCCGGTGGTTGCTTGGTCCGCTGGTCCTTTGGTCTGCTGGCCCCCTGCAGTCCGCTGGTCCACTAGTCACTTGGTCCGCTGAGGCTGGTCCGCTAGTCCCTTGGTCCTCTGGTCTTTTGTGGATTCGATATGCGCTTTGTTTTTTGTTTTTCGTTATCACATCCATTGCTTGCTTATGCACTGTTGCACTCGTTGCGTGAGTCCAGCTGCATGGGGCTCAAATGAACGGGTTTTTCTACTACTACTACTACTACTACTGCTACTACTACTACTACTACCACTACCACTACCACTACCACTACCACTACTACTACTACTACTACTACTACTACTACTATTAGTACTACTACTACTACTACTACTACTACTACTACTACTACTACTACTACTCCACTACTACCACTAACACTACCACTACCACTACCACTACTACTACTACTACCACTTCTTCCACTGCTACTACTACCACTACTACCTCTACTACCACTACTACTACCACTACCACTACCACTACCACTACTACTACTACTACTACTACTACTACTACTACTGCTACTGCTACTGCTACTGCTACTGCTACTACTACTACTACTCACTCCACTACTTCTACTCACTCCACTACTACTACTACTACTACTACTACTTCCTCTACTACTACTACTACTACCACTACTACGACTACTACTACCACTACTACGACTACTACTACGACTACTACTACCTACTACCTACTACTTACTACTTACTACTTACTACTTACTACTTACTATACTACTTACTACTTACTACTTACTACTTACTACTTACTACTTACTTACTACTTACTACTTACTACAGTAGTACTACTACTACTACTACCACTACTACTACGACTACGACTACGACTACGACTACGACTACACGACTCTACGACTGTACTACTACTACTGCTACTGCTATTGCTACTCTTACTGCTACTGCTATTTGGAATATTCTTTTTTTGAATCAGTAGTTTTTTTAATTGATGCGTGTGGAATATTTTTTTGATACGCTAAATATTTTGTTTTTGATCTCTCACCCCCTTTACTTTGCCTTTCAGCGCGAGGATGGCCGGCTCGTTGTCACTCTTCAAACAAAGCTCATTGGAACCCGTCTCATTGAAGGCAAGCCTTCAACCACTCTACAGAATATCTGTACCTTTCGATGGATCCACGTTCCCCCAATAACGACCTGTCTTGTGACACTTCACGATCAAGCACGGCAACATGCCGCTATCCGAGTCGCTGCCCCTTTCTTGCCATGCGTTCGTGTAGCAGTAATCGAGTGAAACTTGCGGAAGCCTACCCTCTTCATCTTGGGCTGCTTGTCCACGATGATGGCGTGGACCCATTACTCGGGCCCTTTGGCAGTGGGCGCACCAGCTTCGATGAACAACATGCCCAGCTGCGCGATGGTCCTGTACTTCCTGAGCGGTGGGGTCCGCAGGCGACCGCTTCACGATCACCTGCGCCTGTTCTTCTCCAACCTCTTCTCCCAACTCTTCGTCGGGCGCCCCGGCCGACGCGGCTGGAGCATCTTCCAACGGCGGCTGGAGTTCCGGACTTACACCCGATTGGGAGGCCCGCCAAAAGAGCCTTCACTTGACCGGGGTGCAATCCAAAAGTCCATGAGGTAGATTCCATTGCGCATCCGCACCGGAGTCACTCCTCCATGCTTCTTGTACTTTCCGGCCTGTGAATCCTTCGCAAAATCAGCAATCCGCCACGGGCCCCGAGCGCAATGCGGCGGCGACGCGCCACCTTCGTCCCGAGGCCAGGGTGCGATGAACGCCTGTGACCCGGCCTTCCAAAACCTTCGCACTCCCGTTGGCGTCCGTCCCATGAAGGACAACTCCGCCTTCATCCGCCAGTGACTCAGCCGACGCTGTCTTGTAGCGCGATCGTCCAGAACCTCGCTCTCCACATCGGCCTTCAGGCCATCGAGGTCCTTGCGCTTCTTGCCAGTACCTGGCGCGCTTTGTTTGGAGTGCCACAAATTGTCGTCAAGTTCAAGCTTCTCTGACACTCGATCGACCAAGCCGCTACGCCGGTCCAGAATCGCCCGACGTCGGCCCTTCTCGTTCTTCCAGGCGACGTGGCGCGGCTTGCCGGCTGCCACGTCCGCATAGTACCTCGAGTCGTGGAAGGTCTGATCGCGCAGGTTCTCCTCGGTGATCTTGATCGACTGGCGAGGCGTATCACGCTGGAGCTCCTTCTTCTGCTTCTCCAGCTGAGGCTCAGCCTTCTTGTCCGGGTCCTCTTCAGCCTCGATCTTTTGGGAGAGGCAGGTTCGATGCCAGCGCGCCTCAAAGCATCCCGAGTTGAATCCGGAGTTCGCCGGTCTTGCATCCGACTTGGCATCCGGGGCCTCTGCCTTGGCCTTCACCTTCGATGGCCTCGCTCTCGCTCCTCCGGGGATTCCATCGACTTCACCCCGGGAGGGGCTGGCACACCATGCGGCACTTGTCCGGCTTCTTAGGAACTCTCCCCTTCCGCGTACGCCTCTCCGCCTTGGCGGAACGCGCTCGCCTCGGCAGCGCTGACTTGGGGTATGCGGTCTTGTCCGCGAGCTTGAGGAATTCCTTCCTGCTCTCGGCGGTGCACTCGCTCCTTTCGCGGCGTTTGTTCTCTCGGAGGATGCGCTCCTCCTCCTCGTCGGTGGATTCGCCCTTGGCCTTCTTCTTGGGCGAACGGCCGCGTTTCGGCGATCGCAAACGCCCCTTCCATGGTTCCCGCGAGTCACGTCGATCACAGGTCTCTTTTTCTTCCTGGCGCCTGAGCTGATCACGCAACTTGTAGTTCTCTTCGATCAGCCGCGTCATCACATCGACTCACCGATCTCAGAGGATCCAGCTCCGGAGTCAGCAAGTGGGGATCTGCCCTGATGTTCGGCCGTCAGCCGCCGTTTCATGGCAGCCTTGAGATCCATGTCAAGATGAACCTCTTCGAAGGTCGACAGCTTCTGAGCCTCCTTCTTGGGAACTGTCTGTCGCTTGCTGCCCACATTGGATCGGGCGCGATGAAGTGCTCCCAACACCAGACGAACGAATTGCCTTCTGGGTTTGAGCCCGGCTCTTTGGTCCAGTCGCCGTACCAACCCGAGTCCCCTTCCTCCCAACCCGCGGCGTCCCACGATCCAGCCTGCTCCTCACCTTCTGGTACCTTCTCAGCCTCAACATTTCCTATGGCTTTTCCTCCTTTGCCTTGTCCTTTTCCGTTTCCTTTCTTTCCTCCTTTCTCGCCTCCTCCTTTGCTTCCTCCCTTGCCTTTCGGAGAACCTTTCGAACCCTTTGGTCCGGAGAGCGGACTGCCCTTCGGTCCTTTGCCTTGTTTAGGGATCCCTTTCTTTCTTGCTTTCTATCTTTCTATATATCTTTCTATCTTTCTATCTGTCTTTTCTTTCTTTCTTTCTGTCTGTCTGTCGGTCTGTCTGTCTGTGTCTCTGTCTCTGTCTCTGTCTGTGTCTGTGTCTGTCTCTGTCTCTGTCACCTCCGCCGGGAGCCCAACACTGGGATTTGTAGTGTCCGGGCTTACCACAGTTATGGCACGTGGCATTCTTCTTGTCTCCGCCTGCAAGCGCGCCTGTGTCCATTGTAGTCCGAACTGGAATGACCACCACCACCGGACTTGAGCAGTCCAATGCGTGTCTCCAAGTACGTGGAGAGTTCCTTCTGGGCTTCAAGGTAGTCTGCAAAGCGCGCTTGGTTGAGTTGAAGACGTCGTTCAACCTCAACCGGACAAATAGAACTCCAAGATGGAGATCTTAATGTCCTCATTAAGTTGGTCTCGAGCCATCGGCCTTTCGCCGATTCTCGTATTGCCGAACCTGATCCCAGTTCTCGGCAACTGCGCTCAACTCTTCAACTTTGTTGCAACGGTTCGGACTCAACACCGAACGAAGCAGTGCCCTGCGGCGACCTCCAGTTGAAGGGTCAAACCGCTTGCACGATCGCCTCCAAGCTTCTAAGCCTTTACTCTTGCCTGCGCTTCTTACGAGCGTGAATGCCTCTTTCTCGCAGAGGGTTTGGAGAACAGCGTAAAGCTGTGCATCTTTTGATTCCAGGTCTGGCATTGTCTCCTGTGCCGGAGTAGTCTCACCAAACTCGGCATTCATGGACGCGTTGCTGATTGGATCTGTTTCGTCTTCTGCCCAAGAAATCGCTTGGACGAAGTCACCGTGAACGGACTCAACAAAAGCTTCCAACCGGATCTTCCATTGGAGGAAGTCCAAGTTGCCATCAAAGTTGCTTGGCTTTGCCAAACCGCGGTTGTCTACCAGAGTCAACTTCTTATCTTGCTTCTTGGACGCTTCCAGGATGGGCCCGCTTAGCCCCTGTACTCTGAACCGCCTGAAGCCTATTGTTCAAGTCCTCTTCTCTCCTTCAACTCTCATTCAACTCTTGCCTCAAGGTCACAACCTGGGCCGCGATCTGCTCGAGGGTGGCCATCACTGGTCAGTTGCTCCCGGTCGAGAATTCAACAGCCATTGCCTGAATGCCTGACTCGCGATCAGGTCTTGAAGATGATGTCCCAGGTATCCCTTCGCTGGCACAAACGAGTCCGAAGGGTTTCCCAAAGGGTGAACATCTACCGGAGTCGCACCGAGCGCTCCGCTACCATGAACAGAAAGTAGCAACGCTCCTATTTACTTGAGCCAAAAGTGGTCAGGGTACCGCTCATGTTTATGAGGGTCCATGTCTCAAATCAGGTATGTATGTATGCCGTACGTACGTAGGTACATACATACAAGCCTCGCACAAATACATGGCCCAAACATGCCAACATAGATTCTAGGTCTTATTGCCAACAAACATTTTAAGCTCACCAAGCAGGAAAAATTAACCTGGCGCTATTAATAAAAAGTTTGGGCCATTTGAGAAGTCATCATGCGCTGCTTTACATTCCGTGTACGAACTCACAAGATTCGCTCGCGCAGCTTGCGTTAATTTTCTGCGCATCTTAGATGCTTGGACGTCTCAAATGGGTCTGTGCCACTTGACATGCCCATTATTGGTGCATCGTCTTCCTGTCACCCGGAAGCAAAACCAAACTTATATAGGACTTCGGGCCTGAACCTGCATGGGAATTTCAAACAGCCTCTTTGGTACTGCAAACCAAATAGAAACAAGGTGTTGCAGCACAACAAGACTTCTTGCAAGTCTTGTTGTAAACAAAAAACACAAGTTTGAATCTCGCACAGTTCCTTTTCGCAGCAGCGAATCAGCTCAAGGGCCCTGTTCAGCCGAAACACCAGCGACGGTGCATCAACTGTACGCAATACACCCTGGCTACAATCGGTGAAATTCACACCCGTCTTATCTACAGGTGTGTTGAGGGCTTTACAGTTCAGATTTGTACAAAGGCAGCCAAGCAACTCTATTCCCCGTGGGGCCGTAAACCATGCCATTCCATGTCGAATTCTCAAAACAAGTCAGGTGAGACTTCTTCATCTTTCTTCTTGGCTCCCTTCTCGCACGCGCCACTGTTCTCGACATTGACAAGGCCACTCTCTAGTGTCTTGAGGAGGTAGTCCGGCCTCATGCTCTTGGTTAGCGGGTCTGCCAATTGCTTCGATGTCTCAATCCACCTCAGGTGGTCACCATAGGGACTGTAGATCTCCGATGTTTTCTCGCCATTCACAGTCCACACTCCTTGCCTCAAAGCAGCAAGTTCTATGCCAAGCCTTTTGTCTTGTACTTTTCTTGGAACCTCTGCCAGTAAATGGTCCGATAAGCTCCTGCAATCGGTGTAATACACATGTGCCATTCGTCTCTGAGTTTCCTCGTGCCAGTTCTTGAAGTCATCAAGTCGTCCGGTCAACTCACAGATCAGACATCGTAGACGATCTCCATGTTCAACTGCAGTTTGCAGAGCATATGCTTCTGCTTGCAATGTAGCACGACACACCCTTTTGAGGGTAGTTGAACCAAAGCTGATCAGATGCATTTTGCGACTGCCTTCCTTGAGGCTGCTCGCATTCGTTATGTAGTGAATGCGGCCTTGCTGACTCTTAAAGCCCTCTTCATTTGCGAAACTTGCGTCGCTAAACGTCACAACTGCCAAATCGCTCCAGTCAATCCAATCACTCTTGAAGGTGATCTGCAAGTCACTTCCTTGAAGTGCCAATTCAACAACCTTGTTGCGCTTTGAGGGTCCTCCGCTCGGTCCGTCTCCATCATCTCCATCCTCACCAGGTGGTTCCTGGCCATCATTGCCATCTTCTTGATCATCGCCTCCTGCGGGCTCTTCTTCTTCCTCCTCGACATCTTCGTGTTCTTCAGGTCTCGCAAATGGAGGTGAGAAGATCAAGATCCTGCCCTTGACATACCAGTCAAGCTCAAGTGGCTGGTTCTCCAGGTTGCCTCTCAACAATGTCATCTCCCACTGGCCTTCAACATGCTCAAAACTCGACGCCTGCCAACCATCATCCTTCATGTAGTCGGTGTAGTACGCTCTGCTGGGCTTCGCAGAGCGCTTACCATGATCATAGGTTTCGTGTTGGACAACAATCTTCACGTTGAGCTCGTGGTTCGACTTGGCAATCTCCTTGCTGGTGAGTGACGTGGAACCAGGGAAGAAGGGCCCCCCCCCCAGCGAAGGGCGCAACGCGAGGCCTTCATTCCCAAATCTGGCACTGAATCCCAGATTCTGTCAAGCAATTCAAGCGGCATGTGTTCGAGGTTCACTCGACCATTCCACGGTCCATCGCCTTCCACTGTAGGGAATTCGAGATGCGATGGCCATGCTCCTGTGGCCCTCGGGAAATGCGATGCTCCTGGGCGCTCCGATGAAGACACATATCGACGTTCTTGCCAAGCCGACTGTTCCGAGTCACGACTGGTTCCACGGCCTGATCTATAGTAATGCCATCTAGGCGGCGGTCCTTCCGGCTCTCTCGGGATCAGCTTCGGTGGCGTTGGGATGCGACCAAATGAAGGCGACCTTCTCCGCGACAAACTCCTGCTTCTTCCGCGCCGGTACTCTCTGCTGTCGTCACGCCTCCTTCCACGGTAGTACTCCCGGCTGTCTGATCGCTCCCTCCGGCGACGGTCCCTTGAACGCGATCGCCTCCTCTCATGCTCACGTTCCTGCGTGTGCTTCACTTGCTGCGTCAGCAACTCAACAGTCTGTAGCAAGGCCTGCGTCGCAGCATCAGGCTGGCTCGTTGCCACTGATTCACCCCTTGGTTCTGCCTGCCTGGAGGTCTCGGCCTTGTCACGACGACGGAGTTCAGCATCTTCATTGTATCGACTCTCATCTTCTTCACGTGCTGGTGCCTCGGGTGCTGGTGCCTTTGGTGTTGCTGCAGCGAGCGGTGGATCTGGTGGCGCTGGCCTCACGGATCCTGGTCCTCTATGAGACATGGTATGTGTCCCCTTTGGCACGGGGGCTGATGCTTTTGCTGAGCTGGCCTTCACTACCGCGGGGCGAATGAGTGGTGGTTTCTTTGGACACGGCGGTGGTGGCAACGCACGGGCATCAACAGGAGCTTGAGTCCTCCTCTCGCTCTCTCGGGCCTCAGCTTCAGAATCAAACACGACCTGACCAACATGGCTGTATGTCGGAGCTGCCTTCAAGCCGAACTGCTTCAAGACATAGTCCCTCGACCTCAAAGCTGCTTCCAAAGCATCATGCGACTCATGGGTGCACATGGCACATTTCCCCTTGCATGTGCCACTCATCTGGCTCCATGAATGTTCCTGGTTGGAATGTGTCAAGGTCAAGTGAGCTCTTGGCCATAGCTTGCTGAATGCCGTTGCCAACAACCAACCGAAGGATACAGATCTGTGTCTGTTTCGCCTGCAATAGGCTATGACTGCCAGTTGTTGCCCCTTTTCATGACATACCTTCAGATGATGAAGTCCATATAGCAATGCTTCCATCGTCTTCTCACTGCCAGTCATCCCTCGAATGATTTCAGGATGTGTACCAACATGGGCTCGCAACTGCGGGTCGTGTTGAGGATCTCCAAATCCCATGCAGTCGAATACTAACAATCGCCTCCCGGGGTCAAACTGTGCCAGAATAGGCCCCAACATAGTCAGGCTCTTGCTGCGGTCGAAGCTCGCAATTTGGCCATGGAACTCCTTTCCACACATCAGGATATGCACGCAAGCAGGATCACCCAGCGTGAAAGTGCCTCTGGTTGGGCGCTCTTCGTCAGCCATGAATGCTGTCAGTTGATCTGATGGACGATTGTTGAAGCTCATGCCATAATCCGTGTTCTTAAGTTCTCGAAGTTGCTTTGGAAGTCTCTTGGACTTTAGGCTCTTGAGACCTTCTGAGAGGTTCACGCATAGGAGTCCTGAGTTCCTAGCTCTGCACAGTTCAAGTTCTGCATTTCCTACATAACACTTGGCATCACCCATAGACTTCGTGAAATGCAATGCAGCTTGAGCATGCTGTGACAAAAGCAAGGGGATCTTCCCATCGACAACATGCGTTTCCATGACTCCCGGAAGTTTCGTCTCGGGGTCCAAAAAGGTCAAGGCAAATGGAATTCGACACTTGCCCAAAGTCTTGGTATCTCCGGCGAGTCCTCGAAAAGCTTTTGAGTCACACTGTCACACTGCAAATCAGCTACATCATACACAAGACGTGCATACTTGTCTTTTGCGTTTTGGATCCACGCTTGTCCACAAACAGTTGCATTACATCCTTCATCCAACACAGCCCAGACTCCAGGGTCTTCCATGCTGTCAACAAGACGAAGTGTGTTTTCAATTGTGGCTTCATTGAGATCCGACAAGGGTCCCATGTAGCAAGTTTCCGGGGCGGCCTCTCTGACGACTTCCACGGCATTGGCAAGGATCTCGAACAGGATGCCAACCCTCACAGGTTCTCCAAATTCTAACTCACACTCAACCTCTTGTCGAAACATCTCCATGACCTCTAGGGTTCCTTCAGCTGACATGCGTGCATCGTTGATTTCATTCTCAATCATGGATGCTGTCGCGTCGAATGCATTGGTGCGCATGCCTACCACACTCTTTGCCATTGCCTCTCTCTTGCGCGCCTCTTCTCGGGGCATCTCGTCGACTGTAGTTCCGCACAACTTGCAGTACCAACGGGACGTGGTCTTCGAACTACCCCGACGATCCGTGACCTCATGCTTGCACTTTGCGGGATCGGCAGAGGGTTTGCTCTCTTTCTTCTTTCTCTCATTCTTTCCGCAGTCAAGGCATGTCTTGTTCTCAACATACGCGTTTGAACCTTGAAATGTGAATCTGGTGCAACGACGACATGGTTCCTCTAGTGGGGGGTTTGGTGGTTTCCCTTTGGCACTTTTGTCTCCAGTACGTCGAATTGCCTCTACTGGCACATCTGTCAAGGGATGCTCTCTCAGGTTCACGTCTCCGTCCTGGCTGACTTCGTAATACGTGGTCACCCAGGTCAGAAAATCTGCCAAGCAGCGCGAAGGGTGCGAAATGCCTGATCCCCACTGATA